CCCAGTCCCCCAACAGGTGTCCCTCCCAGTCCAGCTCTTGCCCTTTAAGAAAAAAAACCAAGAAGAAAAGCCCTGGGACTCATCGCTCCTGCAGTGGCCTTGGGGCTTTGGGGAGCTGTGCAGAGCCCCCCACATGACACGGGTCAATGGGGAGCAGTGGGGATCACCCCTTACCAGCAGGAGCGGTGAGTTTGGGGTTTTTTCAGTTTTTTTTTCTTAAAGAGCTGGAGCTGGGGTGGGCGGGGCACCTGTGGGGGGGGCTGGGGGAGCAAGGGAGGGGGCTCTGCACGAGCCCCCCATGCAGCGGGGGGCAGTGGGGGGGCAGCAGGGATTGCTTTCTGCCCGGCAGCACTCGGTGAACCAGGGCTTTTTTTATAAGACCTGCCAGGAACTGGGCCGGGCAGGGCAGCCATTGCTGGGCTGGGAGAGCAGGCAGGGGATGGGTCTGGCCTGGCTGATTCGGAGATTCAGTGGAATTGAATCAGGACAGTGATTCGAATCACCAAACTGTCCTCCGAATACGAAACGAATATTAGCCGCTTCGCACAGGCCTAGAGGAACTGTGGTCAGAGAGCAGGGGTGGCTTTGTCTGAGGGAGAAGAGAATAAGAAGTGAAAGAGGAAAGGAAAAGAGAGCAAATTCAATCCCAACTGCAAAGGCCTACAGGAGAGTGCAAGATGGAAGCCAACAACCTGAAAAGATAAATACCATCTAGGACGAGCATGTCCAGGGAGACAGGGTCCTGCCAGGGCAGGTTGGAGGCATGCAGGCAGGATAGAAGGGCAGGGTTGCCATCAAGGGATACTTTGAGGGCACGGGGGAGGGATTCCTAGGGGTTAAACCAAAAGAGCAGAGAATTAAGCACTGATACTCAGTATGGGCAGGGATATGCCAAAGGGTGACCTGGAGCCATGTCCAGACTGGATAGAAACAGACAGATCCTAAGAAACTGAGGCTTTGTGTGTGCATGCATGTGTGTGTGTAAGTATGTGTGCATGCAGGCACTATCCATCTGTCTGTCAGACAAACACACCTGCACTCACACTGGGTTCTCCAGTGAGGACTGAATGCAGGGCCAGCAGTGTTGGCTTTGAGCACTTGGGCTAAAGCAGCATTTCCAAATGCTGATGGGTTTATGCCCCACTGTAGTGAAGCCAGCCACCCTTGTGACCCCTTACGTCCACCACTGCTGATTCCCACTGCCACCAGGTGCTTTTACTTCTCCCCACTGCTGCTGCCACCACTGCTATTTCCCTTCCCCACCACTGTCCTGGCTTGGACAGTCCTGAGATTTTTTTGCGACTGCTTGGGGATGGGAGGGGTGGGGCATGCCCCACATTTTGGGAATCACTGAGCTGAAGGGTAATTGTCAGTAACCAGAAGGCATTAACCTCCCTGAGACCAGCCAGAAGAGGGAGACATAATTGCAGCACTAAGCATGCATACCAATATCATCATACTAAGACAACCCTGTGGCCCCACTGGGACCTACCTCAGACCCTTTATTCCATTTAGCTGCAAGGAAGGACATGGTGTTTATGACCTTCTGTCACCTGACCCCCCCTTTGAAAGCAAAAACTGCAACTAAACCTCCCTAACTTATGGTCTCAGGGTGTCTGCACTGGTCTATGCCTTGTTCAGGATTCCAAGGCTATCGCCACATTGCCATACAGACTAAAAACATTTTTTTTTCAATGGGGTGGTAAGAAATGAAGGAAGTTGACCTCTGTACTGGCAAAACCTGCTTGCAGCTGCCTTGGGGCTCACTGCTCCCAGTTTGAGAACCCCTGCACCATGACAGTACATTATATTAGTACATACCTCTTCCTATTCACCTGAGCTTCATTTATAGTTCATATAAGCAGCTCTACTTTTTGTAGGACAAGCTGAGAGCAGACTAACAAAACAAGCTCCATTATGGGTGGAGCTACGCTAGCAATCTGGGCAACCACATTCTACTTGTGGCAGCTTCTTACATACAAGTCATTGTAAGAAGGTGTGGCCATCGAAAGCATCTCTGAGCTTCTGAACATCTATTTTTCCCCATCCCTACTCAACTGAGCGTAGCTGAAACGTGGCAAAACTGCATGACCCTGGAGACAGCCTGTAGAGTTGTTTTATTTTCTCAGGCTAGTTGGTTCCCTTGTCACTTTTTCAAGAGGAAAACCAAAATCTTCACATCTCGCGTTCCACTAATCAGTTGTTATGTGAATTAAATATGTGTAAGAGCAGGAGGAACCGGGGCAGTCTGTAGAGCTGTGCTGACTGTTAATTTGGACTATAAATCCCAGAAACCCCCAGGGCTGGCAGAGTTGGGGCAAGGGGAAAAGGAAGAGGATGCTTGAGGCTGGAGTAAGGAATAAGGAGCAAGAGGAAGAAAGAGCAGCATGCATGTTGGACCTGGCCAGCCCTACACAGAGGAGTGCACAGTGGAGCTGGAGATCTCACTTGCTGGTTCAGCCAGGGCTGTGGACTGAAGGAGCTGGACTCAGACTTGGGGGGCAGCTGCAGGCTGCTGTTTGAGCACTCTAGGGACTAAAGGCTTGTTTGGAGACGTGTTTGGGGGAGTGGGGGGAAATTAAAGTGCTGAGTTACTGCAGTGTTGCTGTTTCTCCTTATACCTGTTCCCTCCCTTTGCCCATTGGCTTATGACCCTGCTATAAGTAGGGACAGAATGTCACCCTCAGAATACTAATAGCACTTACATACAGGACAGAGACATTAGAAACAATTTCAGGCCAGTTCTCTTTATCAACAGATTCAGCTTTATTGTTATTTTTACACGATTCTTAGTGCATCCTTTCAAATAAACTATCAAACTGTACAAAGAACCAAAGAGATCAAAAGAAGAAGAGGTAAAATTGGGTGGAGGTTTTTAAGTGGTATGAGACATTATGGAAACCCAAAAGTCTATAAACTCCCAAAAGTTGACAGAGTCCAAACAAATCTCTTTTATTTTCCTTAAAAAAAGCTGCAAAAATATAAATTGTAAATTACTGTAATTAGCAGCTACAAGATCCTTTAAAACTGGAACTTGATTACTGTGAACATGCCTAGAAATACTAAATGAAAATAAATAAATAAAGTCACATGAGACAATCATGGGCATCTGAAATGCAATGCAATCATTTCTATTATAACAGTAAATAATTGGACCACAGACAACAGAAAGAAATAGGAACACAATATTCTGTTAAAGGAGTATAGTATGCTCATAGCAAAATGGAGTAAGTACAATATCAATGGACGGAAGTTAAGATTTCCCACCCACCCCACTTACGTAGTTAAGCTTGTATCTGAAGCACTGCTCAGATAGCGCCTCTATTCAAAGCTGCAGAAGTTATGGACACAAAAGAAGCAGTGGTTTGGCTATTTAGTTTAATAAGCGTCAACAATAGAGCAATGTTTCACAGCAAAGCCATATGGGATTTCATTAGGAAAAGAAAAAAGAAACAGGTTACTACATTTTAAAAATCATTCTGCAAGATAATTAAGACCCCTGTATCCTCAAACTGTTTTCCTGGCAATGTTCCCCAGCCATCTTGCCTTTTGCAGTGTGGTACTTTTAAGAACAAGTTTTCTAAGCATTTTAAAGTTTCCCTATATATAGTTATTTATATATATTTATTTGTATAAAAAGAAAGCAATAGGGCTTATGGTGCCACTATTGCAACCCACAGATCACTTTTTGCACACACATGTTAATAACACCTTTTGCTTTTCAATAAATGTCTTGTGGAACCTGTCTTATTGCAACATGTTGAATTCTGCTTCTTGATGTTTTGTTTCTTCCTGCTGTTTCTTGCCTGTACACTGTAAATGCTGGTGGTGTTGCAGGCCTGCTGCTGATTGTTTAAAAGGTAAGGGACGGATTAGAGAACCCAAGGTTTGGTCGTGTCTCCGTGTTGTCAGAAACTGCAGGAGTGGATCGATGGAAATGCTGCATGTGAAATAAGGCGACAGAGCAGCCCAACCTTTTTACACACGACCTGTCCCTTTATTGCGTATGCAGGTCGCAGTAGTAAAGGAAATGCCAAGAGTGCTAAAGATGTGAAGAAAAAGTGGAGAGTCTATGACATTGAAATGCCGGAGCACTGGGTAAGAATTAGCAAAGTGTAAACTAAAGCTTCTTTGATTTCTTTTGTTTGAGTAGTCACCACGTCATATACTTCTACTGTTTTTGTTCATATGGTTTCCTAGGTAAAATTGTGCTCATTGATCTAAGGAGTACTAAGGATCACTGACTGTTTTCCCCCACACTAGTGTTACATGTTAAGTGTTCACCTCTATAATGTCCTTTTCTACCTTGCTATGTACACACAAGTGTCCTTGGCTCAAGGAAGGGCTTGAATGTGTCTTCCGCAAGGAGAGATCATCAACTTCCACTGTGAAAAAGTTGGCTTCAATTTTCTCCAGATCGTCTGTCCCCACTTTTATCTTCATACACAGCAGGCTTATGTATGTCTCATAGCGGCTTTTCTGTAGAGGGAAATGGAACAGAACAAGCAGTGTGGTAATAGGGAAGAGCCAGGGTGCTGGAGGCATCTAGTAATGAGTCAGCCATCACCAGCACACACTACACCAGATAAACCTTTGGCTTGTGGGCAGGGGGTTGTTATGAACCGATTTAACCTTGTGGGATATGAACACAGTAGGAATCCAAAGTAAGCAACACACATTTACACTGGTGTTTAATTGGCTTTTGCACCGCTAACGTATAATTAGCTTTTGACATAAAGCCTTGGACCAGTTTAACTTAACTGAATCCAGTGTAGAGTTAAGTTAGCTCTGGAAAAATCAGGGGTAAGTCTTTGCTGTTGTATGTTACACCGATGTAACTGCTATGTTCTTGATGCTTATCCTAGGGCAGCTGTCTGCTTAAGGAAATAGGCTATTACCTGCACCCTCCCAACACCATGTCAAAGCACTATAATAGACATTTATACAGCTACCCTGGGCACCGCGGCTTCTCTGTCCATTCTGGGGCCTGGTGTGATTAATTTTACTGTACAAAACTAAGGTAAATTACATAGGTGTAAATGTAAAGTGCTGTAAAGTGCTGTAAATGTAAAATGTAAATCCTGCTGACAGCAAGAAGCACAATGTCTGACAAATGCACAATATGTCTGAATTGATGCAGAGTTAAATACACTAATGTAAAATTATCTTGCTTTCATAACAGTACCTGTTCATCCTACTCTCCATGGCTGGTTGTACACATGATGGGAGCTTAGTTCTCCCTAAATTGAAATGGCGGGTTTTTAATTGTGTCGATTAAAAAACGACTGTTTCAATTTAGGGACTTCCGACACTGCTGCGGAAGAGTGACAGCCCCCCGGCCGTTCAGCGCCCCCCAGCTGTGGGCAGGCTCCACCGCAAAAAAAGAAATGTGGTGAGGGGCCTGAACCTTGTCCCCCCCCCGAGCCTGCTCGCTTCTCCCCTGGCTGGGGGCAGAGAGCTGCTGGCAGGCTCTGAGCTGCAGGGGACCCCGGTCCTTCCCTCCATGGCGGTAGCACCCCCGAGTGTCATCCGTCTGCTAGTACCTCACCTGGGTGCCCTGGGGGGCATTGCCACCATGAGGGAAGGATCTGCCCCCTGCAGCTCAGGAGCTGCTTGGCCTGGCAGCAGCTCACACAGGCAGGCTCTGCCAGATTAAAAAAAAAAAAGTGATGAGGGGCCTGTTCCTTCTTTTATTTTTTTTTCCCCACAGCCTGCCCATGTCTCCCATGGCCAGGGGGGCCCTGAGCTGTGGGGCACCCTGGTCCTTCCCTCCATGGCAGCAGTGCCCCACCGGGGACTCCCAGGTGCTGCCAGCGTGGAGGGAAGGACTGGGGCCCCCCCACAGCTCAGGAGACACTGGCAGCTCACCCCCTGGCCATGAGAGAGGTGGACAGGCTCCGCTGGAAAACAAAACAAAACAGGCCCCTTGCTGCTTTTTTTTCTTTTCTTGGCAGAGCCTTCCCACACAAGCTGCTGCCAGATCGCGCAGCCCCTGAGCTGCAGGGGGGCCCGGTGCTTTCCTCCATGGTGGTTGTACCCCCTGGGGCTGCCCAGGTGGGGTGCTAGCTGCATGGGTGCTTCCCCAGGTCACAGACAGCACCCAGCCTGATCCAACGGTGCACAGGGTGCTGAAGGCTCAGGAATGCTTAGGGAAGCTTGGGTTTGGTGTTCTTCTAGCACCATGTGCACCATCCCTGCTGCCTTCCCATGACCTGGGACCACCTGGGAACAGGCTGGCTTGCCCCTGGGGCAGTGTGGAAAGGCAGCAGGGTGTGCTGACAACCAGAGAAGGCAGCAGGGATGGTGCACAGGGTGTTGGAAGCCTGCTAAGCCCAAGCTTCCCTGAGCACGCCTGGGCTTCCAGTGCCCTGTGCACCATCCCCACCACCTTCTCCCAGTCTATCGCTGCAGTTTGTTATGTAGTAAACTAAAATACATTGGATGTATTTTACTTTGCTACATAACAAAGTCATTTAAATTGAAATATGCCACTGCACGTGTACAGCGTGATGAAATTGAAATGTAATACCCTGCTGCGGGTGTAAACTGTGACTCCATTAGAGCAGTGAAAAAAGGCCAATTAAACTGCTTAACAGGCCAATCTCATCACGTGTACAAGTGCCCCATGGCAGTAACTACGATCTGAGAAGAAGCATTTCTTGTTGTTTGATTTAAATGCATCTGTCCAGCATTTTGTTCATTAAATGGTTCATTATTATCATTAAATCGTGTCTTAAATTTGTATTATAGGGTACAGTATAAAAGGAGGTCCTATTAGGGCTATGCGAAATTTTGCCACCAGTTTTGTTTCCATGCTATTTCGACCTGTTTCGAGGTCAAAACAGCAAGATCAAAACGGAACAGGTATGGTTGAAACAGCCTTGAAACAAAACAAGGCAAATCGAAACATTTCGCCGTTTCGATGCTGTTTTGACGTTTTGCCCACAGGCTATAATGGGAAAGGTTAAAATAGCCTATAACTTTGTCATTTCTGGCCAGATTTGGATGACCCTTGCAGGAATGGTAGCCTCTTCTGAGGGCATGAAGCCTGCCAAGTTTCAAGGAGATAGGTGCAGGGGGTTCAGAGAAACTGCACCCCAAAGTCTTGGGAGCCAAACTTGTGTCATGTGTATGTGTTAAGCCACAGCAGCGTCAAAAACTGCAGGCATGCTAGCCCCTTCTGAGGTCACAAGCCTGCCAAGTTTCAAGGCGATAGGTGCAGGGTTTGGGGGAAATTACACCTCAAGCTGCAGACAAGCAAAACTCGTGACATGGGTGACACTGTGTGTGTTAAGGCACAGCAGGGTGAAAGCTGCAGGCCTGCTAGCCCCTGCTGAGGCCATGAAGCCTGCCAGCTGTCGAGGAGATAGGTGCAGGGGTTTCTGGGTTCTGGGGCCCTGCACCTCTGCCTTCTGACAGGCAAAACTCGTGACATGGGTGCTTGTGCAACTGCTGGCTCTCATTATGCAGCAGGACTGAAGATCCCCCATCACTTGCCACTGCAGACCTGGGGGTAATAATTGACCATAGTATGAACATGAGGCAGCAGTGCAATGCTGTAGCCAGCAGGGCCAACAATACCCTGGCATGCATCAATTGATGCATCGCCAGCAAAACCACTGAAAAGAAGTGATTCTCCTGCACTACTCGGCTCTACTCAGCACTGGTGAGACTGCAGCTGGAGTACTGCATACAGTTCTGGGCTCTGCATCTTAACAAGGATGTGGTGAAGCTTGAGAGAGTCCAGAGAAGGGCTACCCATATGATCAGAGACTTGCATGGAAAGCCATATGAGGAAAGGCTGAGGGACCTGGGACAGCTCAGCCTGAAAAAGAGAAGGCTGAGAAGGGACTTGGTAGCAGCTTACCGCCACATCAGAAGCGTACATCTAGGGCTCAGTGAACAACTGTTCACCAGGGCACCCTTGGGGAAAACTAGGAGTAATGGTCAGAGTCTGGACACCCTAGTTGTGAAGTAGTTTTTCCTAATGCTGAGCCTGAAACAAGCCTGAAATGATCTTCCAGGAGTTTGTGACTATTACTCCTAGTTTATTTCCTGCAAGTTTCATCCAAATCAGGCCAGAAATGACAAAGTTATATCCTGTTTCGACTTTCCCCATTATACCCTATGGGTGGAACGTCACAACAGGGTCGAAACGGCAAAACATTTCGACGGAACGGAGCAGCCGTTTCAACTCGAAACAAAAGTTGAAACGGGAACACTGCCATTTCGCACAGCCCTACTTTCTTTCCCTTTCATATTTACTTGAAAATTAGATTAGACCAGGTTTTACCATCCCTAAAACTAAGTGAATCCTGCCACTCCTTGAACCAACTCTGCCCTTCCCTGGACCTCAAATTGCCTTCTGAACTTCTCAGAAGGCAATCTGCCTATTCCCAAGCACAGTGCTATCCCTGAGGAGAGGGCTAGACCTCTTGTATTGGGTTAAATGGCCTTGTGCTGGCTTTTTTTTGCATGGGAGTGAATTTCATTTTAACTGAGGTGGTGATATTGCACATGTTAATGCTACCAGTGAGTGCCCCATCCTGTTTTCTAAACCACACAAGTTTTTGGCATTGTATTGATTGTGGCACATGTTTCCATTCATCAGGATTTTCCTTAGAAGGACCTAATCCCAGGTGTTTTTGCCTATAAGGTACTTCAATTTCAGGGGTAAGAACTTGAAACCATTTTTTGCCCACAAGAAAGCATGTTATGTAGCTCACTGCAACCTAGTGCAACTGAGGTCTAATATAGGGGTAGCCAGTCTGTGGCATACAAGCCAATAGTGGCATGGGCAGCTGCTGCATGTGGCCCATGATCCCTACGTGCTCAGTTCAGGGAGGCACAGAAATGGAGGCAATTGGTAGAGTGGAGTGAGAGCAGGATGCTGCTGCTGTGAGGGAGTACACAGCCAGTGTCTCTGCCAAGAGACAGTTTAACCCTTCCCTGACCCTGCAGCTGTTGCCAAATTCAGGGCTTTCAATTCTCACTGTCTATATACAACTGTAGCAGGTGTGGGGCCAGGGTTACCTTGGCTCTAGGCATTGACACTTTTTGTTGCAGCAGTGTCCTGCCCCTGCTACACACTTTGCATGGTGGTTGGAGGATGGAGCCCCACCACCTTCATTCTAGGACCCTTGGGTGCAAACTCTATCAGGTACACGGGGGGGGGGGGAAGAGAGGTAGGGGAGGAGGGCTTAATTTGGGGCACACCTGCTAAAAAGGTTGGTTACCACTGGTCTAGTGGATTGCAAACAGGGCTTAGACAAGAATCCTGTCACTAGGCCAGCCACTGATTACCCCCTTGAAATTGTGGGTCAGACACAGCAGCCTTTCCCTGTGTTAGAGAATTTGTAGGCAGTATGCCGCCACTGCAGTAGCCCGAGTGGGAGGGCTGTGGTGAACATATTCTCACTTTCAGTTATGTTAAGAAGCCTTTCAGCCTGTTATTGTAAAGCAGAAGCTTTGAGGTTAATTCAAAACAAAATACAGAAACCTGAAATTTTTGGTGAATCAAAACCTTGAAAAAAATTATTTGGAGTCAAACAAAATAGGTAATGTTGCATTTAAAGCAATATTTTTTTCAAATAAAATTAAAGAACATTTTGAAATTAGTTTTTCAATGGTCTTTGACAAGAGCACTTTGCTGAAACTGGAATGAAGTCTCCAAATTCTGCCTCATTGCCAAATTTTTATTTTGCACTAAAAAAGCTTTCTATGCTAAGCTAACCATCCCTTTTACTCTGGTCTGGCCCTGGGTGTGACTTACCCTGCCTGTAGGCCTTTACTCTTTTTGCTCCTGCAAAACAGTGGGGATTTGCAGGCTCTGGGATAGTAGGTTGGGAATTTCTCCCTGTTTTTTGTTCATTTTAGAAGCTGGCTGTAAAAATAGTTCTTCTTTTTTTTTGGTTTTTATTTCAGTGCACAAAAATGAGAATTCCCATCATTACACAGCACCCCACCCATCTTCACATGCCCGCTGCACTCACACAGACAGACGGGACCCATTCCAGCCTTATCATCTCCCATCAGACTTATCAAAGGAATTGTTTATCACCAGACAGATGAAATATCCTTTACCTCAAATATTAGGTAATGTTCTTTCAGCCTGTACTCCTCAGCCTCTTTTGACTTGAGGCTTTTCTCTACAGGATGTAATTTATGTTCTGCTAATTCGTCTTCAATCTGCCTCATTTTATTTTCATGGGACTTCAGCTGTTCCTCCTGTAGAGAAAAGCATGTCAACTGTTAAAAGGTATGAATATGTACAAACAAGGACACTGCCAGATTGTAGAGGTAGAACTCTTCTTTTCAAGGATTTGAAACACATGGCTGGAATCAATCCTGTGTTTTGTGTTGGAGCCAAATGTATGCATTTGACACTCACAAATTTACTTGATAAGTATCAGCCAAATTATGGGTATCTGAGCTCCTACAAAGCCTATCAATCATTATTGCCAAGAGTGGATTTGCATGGTGTCATAGGTATTTTTGCAATGCAACCATGAAGTACATCACTTAACACTTAGACAGAACTGGCAGTGTCTTCAGAACTGTCATGCTCCTTCAGCAGAAATGGGCACTCCTGTCTCTGATCTGTGAGACAGTTGACATCATTACATGGCATCCTTTCTGAGAAAGATATGTATCTCTCCACTTCAATCACTGCAGTAGAGAGCTGGAATATTGCCCCTCCCCCTCTTCTGCTGAGAAGTGTATGGGTTGTATTCTCTACTCATTAGAAAGGCTTACTCAATACTATAATGTGTTTGGCATTCTCAGGAGAGCTTAGCTATCTAAATGAAATCTGCTTGTCATAAAACCATGTTATAGTGTGTGGGTGCCTACCACTGCAAGGTAGCTGCACGTTACACATCAACCCTTTTATTTTTGGAGGACACTATGTCCCAGTACTTCCAGACAACTCCAACCTTAACTGGACTAGGGCTCAGTGTTCGTCCCCGTTCTCAAAGCCACAGTGAAACTTCAGCTTCTGATGAGGAAGAAATTTGGAACTATACCAGCCTCACTGTGGGTGAACGTTTGAACTGGAGAATTAGGTATGAACAGCATTAATGTGCTCGATGCCAGTACAGCACCAAGGGAGAGGGATTGCTGGTAAAGTGTCAAGTGGATACAGGATGAGCAAGTCCTATAATGCTAAGATGGGTAAAAGCTGAGTATGTGGGCAAAGAAGACAGTCTGACACACTATGGAAGAGCATCCCATGGCAATGAGGGACCTAAGAAGACAAGGTGAAAATGGACCACAGGAACCAAAATGGATCCTAGAAATACGAGATAAGGACAACCTGTTATGCTAATTACTGCTTTCACCTTTTAAATAAATCTGGCATCTAAATACTAAAGCTACAAACTAAATACTAGTTACAAATGGGCACTGTCATGCATGCTTGTAACAATATATCACATAGGTGTCTCTACAAGCTGCTGACTCAGAAAAGTAATTGGTTCTGTGCATGTCTATGCATGCGCTTTAATGCTCAGTAGCCTATTTCATTGCGCATTAAAGCATCATGTAAAAACCATAATTATTCTAATACACAGTAAAATAGGCTACTGCGCATTAAGCATTACTTAAAAACCATGCACATTCATTACTGTGCATAAAGGCAGCCTACTGTGCATTTCTTTAGGACCTCATATTGGAGGTACTAAATTTAACATGCATTAGAAAAAGCACCTTAATGCGCATATAGGAGCCCTTTGCATTTCTGATACCATTCCCATAGCATGAATAGATCACTGAGTACTTTTGCTTGGAGCATGGGAATAACAAGACTGCCAAGAAATCAGGGACAGGGATTGGAGACTTTTTGCCTGAAAAGTAACCACGTAAACACTCATCATTGCTCTTTATGAACAAATAATCCAGTAACTTGGCATTAAAATCATGAACCGACCCCATTGAAATGAAAGAGAATTTTACCATTGAGTTTAGCGGCAATAGGATCATCCCCTTGGACTTGAAAAATTATATGAAGTTGGGAAATGCACAGAGCAATGGGTGACTTAATGTACATATTAAAAACAAGAAAGGACTTGAGGGCAAGAACATATCGCCTTAAAGAATGGCAGTGTAACCCAGTGGTTGCCATAAAATAATGATAGGACAATCTGCAAACAGGACACACACATGCTGCGTAGTTTACTCTTGCTCTCGGATGGAATAGTGTGAGATGCATGATTTGTTGAACAAAAGGCTTTCCCATATTTTCATGCTTATAAGCCCATTGTAACCATGCCCTACCCTTTCAGCTTTTAAAGACAAGGTGGCACAGACTGTTCAGCATATGGAAATTGGTTTTGTATGACATATTATGCCAGTGGCCTATAGATGCTCACTTTGGGAGCCAGTTTGACACTCTGGTGTGCCATGTTCTGTGTATCTCCAGCTATGACCAACATAGCCCAGCAGATGGCGGGGGGTGGGGTGTGGTGGGGGGGGGTGACATATTTTATATGTTAATCATAAAAAGGCTGGGAATAAACCTGGGACCAGATCAGCCTAGCTAAATCCAAAAGCAGTTCCAGCAACTACTCAATTTTGGGCTTGGCACTTGGCTGCACTTGGCCCCTCCCCCTTGTACATGCATTACCTGGCAGAGTTTTGTCGTTGAAGACGGTAAGAGGGGACGGCAGAATTTCTTCATGGAACATATAGCAGCTGGGAAGGCAGGGGCAGAGAAAATGGCAGCAACCAGATTTATTCTCAGTATCCAGGACAGCATTTCCTCTTTGCTTCTGTTATGGGGAAAGAGAATTTATTTCTGTAACAGTGCCTGCAAGCAGCTGCTCAAGGTGGTACTGAAGCAGCCTGTTCTCAAGCAGGTTTTCAGGCAGCCTTGCACTGAAACCCTGTTTACCTGTGCATTTTGACTTTGTCAATGTTTGGGCATGGCAGCATCCATATTTTCTAGAGCCCATGTTAGTTTCCTGCCTCTAAATTGCCCTAGGGAATTTAATATGTGGGTGAGATTGACAGCCCTGGAGACTCACATCAGCTCTTCCTATTGTTTATCCACACAAACTGATCCACAATATTCTTTATCCAGATGCCCTATTACAGTTTCACCTCCTCACATGCTGTTCCCTCACCACTGGGCCCCATCCTCTTGTGTAGAGCCTCTCTCTCAAGCTGAGAGTAGAATTGTTTCTGTGGCCCATTCATCTCAGATAAGAAAGTCAACACAGGGATGGATTATTGCTGATTCTGGTGAGGATTTTTGTGCTGTGAAATTCTGTTCATGATCAGAGTATCTCACGCACAATCAGGCCAGTTAGTTTCAGATCTGTTGATCATTGCCAATCTGTGCTAGACCCAGAGAAATGACCCAAAGGTAAAAGGTTTCATTTTCCTATCGGCAATTGCTATAGGCTTTTTTGTCACAACTAAAAGAGGCAAAATTCTGGTGGGATCTGAGTCTCTTCATCTTGGGCAGAATCCTATTTCACTTTTCATACCCAAATGGCAGTTACCCAGCTATATAACTAACATTTTTGATGCAGTCTTGCAGAGTGGATGTGGATGTGTCCACAGGGCATATTAGCATGCACAGTTGGCTGCATTCTGGTTAGGTAGGTATGTGGCTTCATATGTGCCTGCACTGAGCAAGCATAAGTCATGAAACTATGATCACCTAAAACCATGACTAGCAGGTGTTAAGAGGAGGAAGTGCATCCTGTTATGCACATTATGAATTAGGTGTAAATGGACGTCACATTTCTCCTGGGAGAAAGCCTTTTGTTTTACAGACGTAGATGTACCGGTCCATTACCCCACTTTAAATACTCATGAAGTATGAGTGTCAAAATGTACTAACATTTTTTCTTGGGACAATGCTGTCTACGTCTGTAAGTTAATAGTGTCTCATTCAAATTAACTGCCAGTCATTCCAGAGACAAGCCCATCAGGCTGTGTGCTTTCTCTGGCCACTGAGCATCATTGCAGCTTAGAAGGACTACATGTGAAAAGCGCTGTGCCACTCCTCTTTTACTCGGATTTTGACTCAGATCCATCAGGACTATTTCAAATGAGACATCTGTTTACAATCCAAGAGTCTAGTGGTTCATACAAACTGTAGCCTGCTCCAGCCCACCAAGATGTTTTGAACCTGTCTTGCTCTATGTTCATAGTAGAGTCGAGTGCTGTAGTTGTCAGGCCATTGGATCAGTCTTACCCAGTTCTACTTCTGAAGCTAGCAGCTGAGACAAAGCGAGATGTTGGGTAAACAAGCTAACTTGGACCATTGATCCCAATGGGGCAGAAACCTGTCACTGCTCTGCTCTCCATCCAATTTATCCAGTAAGCATTAAATGCAAGCTGCAATGGCTCATATTCAAGAAGCAGGCTAGAGATGGCACTGGATGACAGCTGACCCTGTAGGTTGGTGGTTAGAGCACCAGGTAAAGCAGGAGCCTGCTCTTTGTTTTGTTGGTTGGAAGACTGAGCCCACAAAGCACAAGGAACAGGCACCAGTGTTAGTGCATTCAGATATTAATGGGCCAAATTAGGAGGTCCTTAATCATAACTCTCTGTCCTTTGTTTAGGCACAGTTCCCATTTGAGTTCAATGGAGAACTTTGCTTCCTGGACTTGGATGTCAAGATACAGCCTAATATTTAATACTGTAACATGAACCCCATATTTTGCCCTACCATGTCATGTTTTTTGGATTCTGGGCAAGAGGATGGAAAATGCAATCAAGCAGAATCACAGATGTCACTCCTTAGTGTTGTGGCCTTTCCTTCAGAGAATGACACAAGGGCAAGCCTGAACTGGAGTGCTTCTTTGCCACACTTGAGGCAGAGTAAAAGACAAAGGTACAGATCCAGCTACTTAGCTAAAGATTCATTTGTAGTTTCTCTGCCTCTTGCTCTGACTGACAGAGATGAAACAAGCAGACAGATAGCTTTATGACAAAAATACTTTCAAATTTGGGGGACCAAAGTATTATATTTAATGGGAACATAGGTTGGAGTTTGCGTGTCTGTTCATGACTGTTATTTTAGAACAAACTATTGATGTGGTGCAATTAGGGACTGCAAGCTGCACTGATGCACTGCCTTTGAACATGTTTATTCCACAGGGATCCACCATGAAAGGGAATCCTGGGTAAGAGGTCCAACCCAACCTTAGGGCAATGTAAGGGGGTGAAACACTTCAAACATTTTTTTAATTTGTTCAATTTAGTGCAAAATTTCTTCATCAAGTTAGTCCTTTGCTAGGTTCCTGGTACCATCTATCTGCACCTTTTGGACTGTGGGGCTCCACAGACCTTTCAGAAGTCACAGTTCATTCTCCAAACCTGGATATTTTTTCTGTTCCCACTGATTTCAATAGGAGAAGGATCAGATTCTCAATTACTTTAGGTTCATTTAGCCTGCAGACACTGCAGGGTTGGGTACACTAGCCAACCCAGATTTACACTAGTTAGTTCAGATAGCAATAGTAATCTAGCAGGAGCACATAGCTCAATGAAGAATCATCTACCCTGCTTTCTGGGAAGTTTTTGCAGTCTGCACTGAGCTTCATGATGCAACGACTTGACTGTTACTGGTATCTTAACTAGTCAATTTAAAGCTGGCTCAGGCATGTCCATGCTTCACAGCATCCATTCCCATGACTGTAGTGTAAACATACACCCGGGTTTGTTATATGTAATAGACTTAAAAAGCAGTAGATATCGCTAAGTTTATAGGACTGAGCATTCCTATTTAAATTGCTGCTTTCTGGTCAAATAGAGGGGTATCAAGTCAATAAATTAACCAGGCAAATATTCCAGTTTTATTTAGATTTTGAATGGATGTTACCTGTACAGGAAAATTATTAGCTTTACATGATGCCGTACAGATACACAATAATTTACAGAACACAGGGATAGTCTGTTACTTGTTGGAGTTAAAAAAAAAAAAAAAAAAAAAAAGGCAGACCCATATTCAGTAGACCTGTGCGAAGCAGCTAGTATTCACTTCAGATTCAGATTTGGCCGATTCAGGGGACAGTAATTCTATTCGGTGATTCGAATGACTGTCCTGAATCGATTTGGATGAAACTGATTTGGAGACTGGACTGCTGCTCAATCAGCCAAATCTGCAAATCGCACAGGTCCCATCCCCCGCCTGCTCTCAATGCCCTGCCTGGCCCAGCTCCTGGTTCTTTGAAAAAAAAAAGCCTACACTCACTGGCTCCTGCCCAGGGGGGTGGGGTGGGGCGATCCCTACTGCCCCATGCCACATGGAGGGGCTCTACCATGAGCCCCCCGACCCTTGCCCACTCTCCCAGGTCTCCCCCCTTGGCTTTCCCGCCCCAGCTCCCAGCCCTTTAAAAAAACAAACAAAAAAGCCGGGGCTCACCAGCCAGGTGGGGGGGTGATCCCTGCTGCCCCTCCACTGCCCCGTGCTGTGTATGGGGCTCTTCCATGAGCCCCCAGAAACCCTGAGGCTGCTGGCTGGGAGCTGAGGTGGGTGGGGCAGCCATGGTGAGGGGGCTGGGAGAGTGAGAGGGGGTTGGGAGGCTCATGACAGAGCCCCCCCCCACCACAAAAGGGGACAGTCATGTGGGGGCTGGGACAGTGTGTGGGGGTTGTGGGGGGCTGGGGAAACAGGCAGGGGATGGGGCCTGGCAGGGGTCTCCCTATAGTCCCTTTCCCCCATCCTCCAGTCCCCCCCTTCCCCACCCACTACTTACCAGCATGGTCCAGCTCCCTGTGGCAGCCAGAGGGGACTGCCCAAATCGCCAAAGCTCTCCGAATCTTTTCCAAATTGATTCAGAGAGCTTTGAATCGATTTGAACCTTTTAACTGGTCCCCGGACTCAATTCGGATTCAGAGATTTGGCCACTGAATCGGGCCGAATCTCCTTTGAATCGAATCAGCACCTGAAGCTTTGCACAGCCCTAATATTCAGCTCTGCATGCAGTAGAAAAGATTAAACTGAATTTTGTCAAATGGCACTTAAGATCTTACACTACACAATGAAATGTTTCATCTTTTCTACTGCATGTAGGGCTGAATATGACTCTGCCTTTTTAAAAAATTAAAACTCCAACATGTAAATATTTGAAAGCAAATAAGCAAAGAAGAAAATGCATATGAACATTTGACTAGTTCACTGATTGACTTGCCTAGTCAAATCTCAACAGGCTCTGGTTCACCTAATCTAACCCAATTGCTTGGGGATGGTCCAGTCCCATAAGAAATATAATCGACTTCCATGCAAGTGAGGGCATGGAAGCAAAACACGTTTGTGAGTGAATCGGACCTTAAACAAGGAATGTCCTGCTAAGTTATCAAAAAGTTATCAGACCCTGCCCTGCCTCCTGCTGGATGGGCATGCATCTTGGGTACAAAATGCAAAATGGGGCAAAGTGAAAGAATGGTGGACCAGCAACCCACATCTTAGCTTTCTATGAGGCTTTGTCAAAAGTCTGCAACTCCCCAAGGCCTTGCTCTGATCCCACTTACATCATTTCTTTGGTGCTATAGATGCAATATGAGTTGTTCTGTACTTGCACCACTGCTGCAGGGATCAGAATATCACTCCTGAGGCCCTGAAACTGGGCTGGTACCTTTGGTTTCTGCTCTACTTGGAAATACAGTGAACTAGCCTGTTCTAGGGTCTCTATGCAGTAAATTAAGTGTAACACCGTTGAAGTAAATGGAGTTATATCCTGAGGTATGACTCAGTGAGGTCAGAACCCAGCCGACAAAACTTTGCTTCTTCTGCTTTTGGGACTCAGTGGAATTAGGACAAACAGAGACTTGAGAAAACTGATCTGCTGCACACTGTGAACAACAGCATAACAGCTAACTAACAAGGGTCTGGGATCTGAGGCCTGGTTGATAATTGCCTGTGCATGTGGGCTCAGCCTGGGTCTCACAACATATTGGCCTTGACATACCCAAGGTCTGGCGTAGGGGTTCAATTCCTACAACTGAAGGGCAGTTCTAGAGGTTTGTCCTGAGCTTCTACTCAGCCCTCTAGCAGGTAGAAACCAGTGAACTGTTGAGTAAAGGTTGTGTATATATATAATGCCTGAGTAAAGACCTCAGGATTTAGCCGTAAGACATTAAGACCCCAAGCCTCCTTTACCTAGTATCATCCTTAAATCTCATGCAAGGTGGGACATGACCATTTGGTTTAATCCATAATTATGCCCCCATTTCACAGATGTAAATATCAACTCACAGCATAGAAAACAATCAGGCCTCATGATATCTTGTCTTTTATCTGTGAATCCTTCTTTTCCTATTTCTCATTTTTTTGGTTAATATAGGAAAAAATCTGATAATGACCAGAAACTGAACTCTGCTTTGTTATTAGCTACATGAGGAGTAAAACTATTCAGATAAGAGTAACGTGTGATGTACTAGAGTACTTACGGTGCTTGAAAGAGGAAAACTCTCCAATCTGCTGTCTTCAATTTGAGTACGTTTGACTTTTTGCTGTAGTCAGAGGCTTTTGCGGCTAAGGCGTGGTGAACTCGGATGGCATTTTTGAGATCCACTTCAGAGAGATCTTTGTCAGGTTTATACTCATCCTATTAAGAAGGAGTGTTAATAGAATAATGACAGTGCTGTTATCCATAGGCTTCTTTAACAAAACTGCCCTTTTCTCTCTGCCATAATCACAGAATGCTGAGAAGGGGAAGAGTGCCTTAGTACAGTAAGTTCTAGGAAGCAATAATGATAATAATTAACATCTATCTGGCACCTTCCTCCATCATTACATTCACTAGGATGATGTGAAAAAGTACATGAAAGTTTTAAAAATAATTATCAATATTTATTTCCAACATGTCACACACACTCCGTGGACTGCCAAGGAAGAACCATTCCTGGGCTCCTGAAAATCTTCACCCACATAGGAATCTCATGTGTGCAGCCCCTTTAAAATGAAGGGGTGTGATCTTTAGGTGGCATAAATGGGCACCACCACATCAGCTACTGAGGCTGCACTGCTGTACACAGCAGAGGACTTGCTCCAATGGCTTATACCTTAACTGGCAACATGGATAGGGGGAAGAATAGTGCTTAATGGTCAGATCTAAAGTTATCTACTTTCTGCATTTGTATCTCTGGACTGAAAGACTTTGCACTATACAGGATTCAAACACATCCCAAGAAAGCTAACTGGAAGTTAGGCTCAAACTTCTTACCCTGTTCTCCATTTCTTACATCTCTCTATCATTGTGGAACTGTTCATTCCATTTAAGTTCATGTGACGTAACTCAGTATGTGAACCTTTAGAGTCTGCAAAAATGTCATTGGGCTTATGCCTGCCAGTTGGTTTACTGAATCTGTCCAGTGTCAGGGGCTTTCAAAAGTAAAGGAAATGTAATAATAATAACAAATTAGAAAGTGGTCAAGGATCTTGGCTTTACGACTCACTCCAAAAATGACACCTTCAACAGTCATCTAATGCCATGTTGGGACATCGGATGAGACACAGCTGTATCAGTCAGGAAGTCAGCAGAATCTACACTGTGGTCTGTTCCTGACAGGACTCCCACTAAATACAAAATCCCAAGAATATTGTGAGATTTGGAGTCCTGTAACCAGGAATCTAGACATAGGCAGGCTAATGCACAAGAATTCTGGCAGGGCTTCGCAGGCAAAGGGGAACAGCCATAGTCTAAATTTCTGGGGAAGGCTACAAACAAAGAGCTCAGGGAGAAGGCTGGACTGGTGTTATGAGTACTGGCTCTGATGGAAAAGCCTGATAATATGCATAAGAAAAGAGCATGCTAGATTAGATGGGCCTTTTATCAAGGTACGCTTAGATTCTGTCTCCTCTTCCCTTCAGACTCCTTTTCTGATAAATTTCCAGAAGTTGGATGCCAGTCCATATTCCACATATTAAGGACCTAAATAGACTTAGGCACCTAAGTGTAACCCTATTCCACCCTGCTTGTGACCCTGAGACACCATTAACACATTTACTTTTGCAACACATTAGCATCTTAGTCAGAGGACTAAGTTACAAAAGAGCAGTGAGAAGAGGGAAGACACCTATCTTATGCATTAACAGCTCCGGCAGCGTGGAATAGAACTGCACTTAGGCACCTAATTCCACTTACATGCCTAATCAGTGGAATAAGATCTGGTCCCTGATGCTTTGTTGGTCATTTACTTGCTGTAAATGTACGTTGCTAAAGTAAAGGCATTATTCAAACCACAGCTTTTAGTTATCTTGAAAACACTTTATGTGCATGCTTGAATTAGTCATCGGGACTTCAAGCAGATTACTCACGTGCTTAGAGTCAGACCCATACATGTTCATGTGGGTGTGTCTACGTGGATTCTTACCTGGGGCTCGACTCTTACCCGCCTCCCGTCTACACAGTAAAACCTCTCATCTGGGTTTGAAGGAGCTATACACCCAGACTAGCTTCTCCCATGCTTGGTTAGAAACTGGACTTCTCTCCAGTTTGGAGTGGAACCTGACCACTCAACAGGAAGGATGCAGGCTATGTCAGTCAAGTGCTGACAGTCCTCCAATGCCCTTCCTACAATTTCCCCCAATGACAGACAAGTTTTCCTGTGAGTGACAGGG